TGTACTTCACTCTATGCAAACTTATTGGATGTCAGTATTCTTAGTACCGGCCACCACAATCCATGAAATAGAGCAGATATTTCGTAATTTTTTATGGAATAAAGCAGAGGGTCAAATGGGTAAATGTCGAGTTGCTTGGGATACAGTCTGCTTGCCTATTCAAAGTGGGGGTCTTGGTATGAAAAGACTTGCGACTTGGAATAGTTGTCTTCTTTTTAAACATATCTGGGATATTCTAAAGGGTAGAAATACTATGTGGGTCTCTTGGATTCAGTCTCACTGTGTTCGGGGACGTAATTTATGGGTTATCAAGAAGAGGAATGAGTGGTCGTGGATTCTCCAAAGCCTTTTAGACTTAAGATCTCATTGCCGGAGATTCTTTATCTATAATGTGGGAAATGGTTTATCTACGCATGCTTGGGAAGATACATGGAGCGAGTCGGGTCCTCTCATTCAATCTCTGACTTATAGATTCATTAATGGCCAGGGATTTCACAATAACTCCACGGTATCTGATATAATGCAGGGATTTGGTACCAATTGGCCGGTGGACTGGATTCAACAATATCCTCAGCAGCAGAGTGTCCTGATTCCATTTCCCAGTCAAGTGGAGGATAAGGTTAGAGGGCTTGATAATAAACTTTCACGGGGTGACTTTGAGGTAAAATTGGCTTGGAATACTATCCAAGAGGTGAAACCGGTTATGCATTGGTATAAACTCGTTTGGAATAAAGCTTATGTTCCTAAACATGCTCTTTGCATGTGGATGGCGTGTCAGAAGTACTCACCTATTTTTTGAATGCAAGTACTCAAGTAGTATTTGGGAAGCTATTAAAATGGAGGTGGGATTAACGAACTATACAAACAATTGGGAGGATATCCTTCACAGAGGGTCCACTCAAACTTGGAAATCTTGGTCTACGGTTCAAAAACTTGGATTATCGGCAACGGTTTATATTATATGGAGGGAACGAAACAAGAAGTTCTTTGACAATTTCAACCATTCGGAGGATAAAGTTATTGCGGAGATCAAGATGCAGATTCTTCATCGGATGGCTTGGAAGAAAGGAAGAAACTTTTGAATTCCAATGGTATGTGACTACGTGGGTGGTGTACCTTCTCGGTTTTGGATCTTTTGGGTTTTTCTTGCCTTTTGGTTTTTGGCTTATGGTGTTGTTTTGCTTTGGTGTAGTTCCCTTTGTCATTTTTGGCTCCTTATGACTTGGTTTGTGAGTCAAAGTTGCCGTAGTTTTTCTTGCTGATTACTTTTGTATTGGTGACGTTTTTTAAATGTCTTTATAAAATTGCATGGGGAAACTCTTCCCCTTTCAGTATTATGGAGGGATTTTCTATGCTCCTTAAGACTTGTATCAGGGAGGCTTCTGATTTTGAGGACCATCGCGGTTGTGAAGAGTTGGATATCACTCATCTATGTCTTGCAGATGATTTATTTGTGTTTACTAATGGTGATGTTCATTCGGTGGAGGTTCTTAAAAAAGCTCTCTCTCTTTTTCAACATCGTTCAGGCTTGGAGCCAAGTCTTGAAAAGAGCGAAATTTATTTTGGTAATGTGCCCCATTCTATTAAGGATGCCATTCTGGTCTGCCTCCCTTTTAAGCTTGGCTCTTTTCCTGTTCGTTATCTGGGAGTGCCACTTTCTCATGCTCGGTTGAAAATTAGTGACTATAGACCTTTGCTTGCTAAGGTTAAAAGTCGTATTTTTAATTGGAAGACTAAGTTTCTCTCGTTCGAAGGACGTAGGCAACTTATTATAGCGGTCTTACAATCGCTTCAATTGCATTGGCTGTCTATTTTCCTTTTTCCGTCGGGTGTAATTCATGATATTGAATCGATCTTCCAGAAATTTTTATGGGCTCCAAGGGATGATCTACGTAGGCGGTGTAGATTATCGTGGGATATGGTATGTCGTCCTCTGGAATCGGGGGGACTTGGTATTAAAAGGTTGGCGACTTGGAACAGGGCTTTACTTGCTAAACATGTTTGGGATATTGTTCGCCATCATAATTCTTTGTGGTTTCGGTGGATTTATAGTCATACTCTTAGACACAACCACTACTGGTTAGTTCGGAAAAATTCTAA